GGGGGGGGGGGGGGGGGGGGGGGGGAAGAAAGGTCAACCTTTAGCTTAATTTATCTCTTAGGGGAGTATATATCACTCACATCTTCCACTCTGCCTCCAAGTAATCTAAAAACTCTGGCGTGAATACTAATGAATATCACAATTTATTTTGTTGGATGCCATGGGACAGAGCTGAAGACACTTGGAAAAGGAAATGAATTTTCAGAGCAGGACTAGCTGGAAAAGTCCCTCTCTAAAGATTGCTGCTTCAGATTCATAGCAAGGTTTTAATGAGCTCAGGGGAGGGGGCTTTAATTTATTTATGGAAAATTGCAAATGAGCCTCATAAATGACTTTAACATTTCAGTCATGAGATGGTTCTGTGTAAAGCTGGGGCCAGTAAAGATGCAGATTTTAAAAAAAAATAAAAAATAAAAATTGCATTATGAGGAGGTCTTGCAGTTTTGGCTGTGCTGAGTTTTCCAAACATCTACCATCTAGAGAATGTAATTTCTGGTCTTGATAACAATAGATTTCCATTGTCACGTGCAATCCTATCTAGAGGAAGATACGACTGGGAAGAGTGGTTCCTTTTGGTTCTAAAGGAAATAATTCAACCACAGAGGTAGCTTTCTATGAGGTTGCAAACAAGATCCTCAGTAAGGAATAGCAGTTCCAGTTCCATATTGATTGGGTTCATACCTTATGGTAATTCATCTTTTGTTTTAAACCCAATTTGTTGCCCAAACCACATAGGTTGGATTCATCTACTGAATTAAACCACAGTTTGGTTTTGGTTTACTGTGGCATGTGAACCCAATAGCATAGCATAGCATAGCATAGCATAGCATAGCATAGCATAGCATAGCATAGCATAGCATAGCATAGCATAGCATAGCATAGCATAGCATAGCATAGCATAGCATAGCATAGAATAGATGGAAGGGACATTGTAGGCAGTGGTGGGATTCAAATATGTGAACAACCAGTTCTCTGTGTGAATGCCGCTTCCGGAAGTCCATTCTGGGCCTGAGCAACAAAAAATTAGCTACCGGTTCTGCCAAAGTGGTACGAACCAGCTGAATCCCACCACTGCTTATAGGTGATCTAGTCTAACCCCCTGCACAAGCAGGAGACCCTAGACCATTTCTGACAGATGGCAGTCCAGTCTCTTCTTGAAAGCTTCCAGTGATGAAGCTCCCACAACTTCTGAAGGCAGTCTGTTCCATTGGTTGATTGTTCTCACTGTCAGGAAATTTCTCCTTATTTCCAGGTTGAATCTCTCCTTGATCAGTTTCCATCCATTATTCCTTGTCTGGCCTTCAGGTGCTTTGGAAAATAGGTTGATTCCCCTCCCCTCTGTGACAGTCCCTCAAATATTGCAACACTGCTACCATGTCTCCCCTGGTCCTTGATTTAGTTTTTTGAAAAGAAAGATAAAATTCAGTAAATTCTCTCCAGCATCTATTTGCTCAGCTCTTCAAAGTTTTGAAGGTCAAGCAATCTTTGCTACGAATGTATTCATTGCACTTATACTCATTCACAAATCCATTCATTCACACATTGTTGAACCACTGTCAAGTCTGAAAAACTTTGCAGCAAGAGTCTTCATCCTGACTCTTCTGGACTCCAGGTGCAACGGAAGACTCTCTGCCTGTTTATGTCAGGGATAGGCAACATTTGAAATGTTAACGCTGTATCATGGGTATATTCACAAAATGATCTCAGGACAAGGTGATGAGATCACTTCTCGTCTACAGTATTCTTTACCCAGGAAAGATATTCCCCATAACCCAATTTTCTTTTTCCATAATAATTCTGTTTCATTACTCATAATCCTTTTCTTTTTCTCTTCCATTAATTTCTATCACTATTTTCATTACTACTAGTGATGATTTCCATAACTCAGAACGGGCTGTTTTAGGAAAAGGGGTCTTCAAACTTGGCCCTTTTATGACTTGTGGACTTCAACTCCCAGAATTCCTCAGCCAGGCACGTGTGCCTGGCTGAGGAATTCTGGGAGTTGAAGTCCACAAGTCACAAAAGGGCCAAGTTTGAAGACCCCTGCTTTAGGATGTTCCCTTCAGTGTTGGTGTCAGGATGTTAATGAACTTCTCCAAGTGTAATATATGTGGGTGTGTCCAGATGAGTGTTTTGTTCTGGTTGTTGTATGTTTTATTTGTTGTGTACCGCCTGGAATCAGTTCTTGTGAGTTTGGCCTTTAAATCAAGCAAGCAAGCACAAAGGGAGCTATACCTCATGTCATCAAGTTGAGGATGACTCCCTAAAAGTCCAAAACCCTTAGAATCAGTTGTGATCTACTTTGTGAGGAATGTGACTATGTTCATCTGCTTGCCTCATCTTTGGCATTGCTTCAAGATGCAATACACACCCTGTCTCCAGGTGACCTGATTACTATTGTATAGCTCTGTGATCTTGTTGTGTTGGGTTCTTCAGCTAAGCACAAACTTTCTATCGTCACTGGAAAAGCCTCAGATTGTCATTTTCCTTAGTGTTTCCAGTTACTGTTACATAGTACAAGAGAATTTTCTATTCTCTTGGAGTTATTTTGATTTGGATTTAAGGATCTTTAAGGCAGTTGCCAACTCCTTGTGATTGGCAAGCCACATATGCTTTAACCGTAGTCAAGGGGACAAGCTTCATGTTGAATGCCCTCTTATTCTATATAAAATAATAAAGATGGGATAAAGATCTAATAAAGAAATAAAAATATTAAAGATTTGTATCCTGAGCATAGCCTGGCTGTGTTTGAGAATCATGTAATTTCTCTAGTCTCCTTCCAGTTACTACTTGTGTTTTTAGTTTGGGCTGGAGATTTTATCAAAGGTAAATACTGAAGTATAACTAATTAAAGGTAAGCTTTATAGTTTGGTTCTGTGTTTCTTTTCATTCTTTTTTGACTTGTGTACACCTGAGCGTCTGTGTTTCTTCTAACATCCTGGCAGTAATCTAGATGGGAAAAGAAACTTTCTGGTGGATTTTGGATGGTCATCAGATCCTATTCAACTACAAAGAGGAATGGATTTTTTCTTTGTTGGTATCTGGTTAATTGTGAACATATTGATCTGGATCACACATTGTTACATCATGATCATACAATAGAGCAGGGGTGTCAAACTGCTAGTTCGCGGGCCGGATGTGTCACCTGGAAGCCGCGCCCACCCCATTGCCGGCAATGGCAAAACAGTCCCGATACGTCGCGCAACGTCATATGACATCACGCGTTTGACATGTCTGCAATAGATGAACTATGCCTTCTTCATAATCAGTATATGAATTGTGTACATGAGCTTTTGAGAGACATATTTTGGATAGATATTTTATTTTATCATTATTTGGGGAAAAATAAGGGCCCCTTTGAGATAGAATGAGGGCTGGTCTCTCCTGAGCTGAGCAGTAGAAGAATTGTTTCAATGCATACAATTTTGTCTATAAATATTTATAAGAATGGAACACCTGCACAGCATAAGACCTTAGCATAAATATTTTAAAAAGGCAAAGTGCTGAGTCAGTATATTTTTTTAAAAAAACTGGCCTACAATAAACATGTTTATTTATGCTTTGTTAAGCATATAAATATTCAGCACATAGGTAGGACTCACTCCTATATTCTGAAGTCTAGTCAAGTCTGCAATTGATGGGCAGTTAGTGACATACTTCCTGCACTAAATAATGACATTGGTAGGCTTCCAAGTTTTCCATTCCCCATAACATTAAAGGGAAAAAAAGCACTCCTGTGATCTGTGAAATACTTGTTCATAAGATGCTTCGTTTCAAGTAATGCAATAATTGTTTCATGCTAATCATTAAAATGGCAGCTGCAATAAGATTGAGCCTAACATAACAGTAAAAAATGTATGCACTCCTGTAAGGATTTGCTACTGACCTTGTTTGCATCAATTTCCTCTTTACTATCTTTGCATAAGAGTTTTTTTAAAAAATAAAGTTTCTATTATCACTGAATATCTGATTTAATAATGTTGGACTAGTTTATGTCAGGACAATTGCTTTATGAGCTTGGTCATAGGTAATAAATATCTGATGGTCACCTTTCCAGTGTGAGAAGAAGAAATCTAATTATCTGAGGGCATGAACATCTTGTTTATCAATAAACATTTTTATTCAAGATAGGTGTTTATGGCTACAGCATCAGAAAGTGGTGTTCAGAAATAGAAAAAGAATATTAGTTGTTACTCTTTCTGTGCGTAAATTAACAGAAGGACAGGCAACATAGTTAAGTACACAAAACCTTTTTAACTAAAGGGTTTTATTGGCAAAAGTGCTTTTGTCAGCCCCTTTCATAGCTACCAATCAATTCGGATTAATGGATGCTGGAGTTTTGTCCCCATGTTGTTCTATAACCTTTAGGCAGTCGTCAATGAAATGAAAGCTTTTCTTCTTTCCTTAGACATAGAACACAGAATAAGAGGGTTGGAAGGGACCTTGGAGGTCTTCTAGTCCAATCCCTGGCCCATGGCAGGAGATGTTAGACCAATCCAGACAAATGATTGTCCAATTTCGTCTTGAAAACCTCTAGTAATGGAGCACTCGGAGCTTCTGGAGTCAAGTCATTCTCTTGATTAATTGTTCTCACTGTCAGGAAATTTCTCCTTAGTTCTAGGATGCTTCTCTCCTTGATTAGTTTCCATCCATTGCTTCTTGTCCTGCCCTCAGGAGCTTTGGAGAATAAGTTAATTCCTTCCTCTCTGTGACAACCTCCCAAGTACTGGAGGACAGCTATCATATCACCCCTAGTTCTTCTCTTCATTAGACTAGAAATACCTAGTTCCTTCAATCATTTCTCCCTTCCTTCCTTCCTTCCTTCCTTCCTTCCTTCCTTCCTTCCTTCCTTCCTTCCTTCCTTCCTTCCTTCCTTCCTTCCTTCTTAAAACAACTTTCATTTTGATCGAACAAGTTAAAGGGTTTACTATTTTAATACATACCCTATCAGAAATGACCATGTCAAGTTTAATATAGATAATTGAGGATGAAATTCGGAATGGAAGGTGTAAACTATGGCACCTACCATCTGTAGTATGACAGATAAGTCATACTACTAATTTATGGTAGAAAAACCATACCAATAAAATATTTGTGAAGTAATAGAAATATGCTTGACTGAATTTAAAGTTTTTAATCTGCTCATCTTTCCATTTAGAACTTTTTTCTTCACATGACCATGGTTATTTGAGAATCTGTTTATTTTAAGTTTGAATTAAAATTGTTCGTATTTTATGCCATTTCCTTAAATATAGTGATTTGACATTGATACTATTTCATTGGAACTGACTTCTCCATATGCTCCAGTTTTATACATTAGATTCACAAGGGCATACATTTTTCTGCAGCCTTTTAAAAACATACTTTTTAATTACCAAACTGCACTTGAAAACATGTACAAATTTCAGTTTTTTTTGTTGGCTTGCAAACCAATTGTACCACAGCATTAGTTAAATTCCCAAATGCAAATCAAACAGCTTTCTCAAATCCACATATTGGAATGCTCGACTTATTCATGAGCCTTTGCAAATATTTTTATTAAAGTTATATATTGCTGAATCTTTATAGACTTCAAATCCTTACAAACAATTAAACCATGCTGTAAATAAAATATCTATAATAATAAATAAATGCCTTTCAATCCAAATCAAGAGAGAGATCATATAAGAATTAATTTAAGAAATGTATCTTACTAGCTGCCCATTAGCTGTAGGATCTTTGCCTGAATGATATAATTATATGCCACAGGTTTTCTGACTATTTATAAAACCCAAAAGATGCTCAAAAGCAAATAAAAGAATGCAGTTAATTTTTATTAAAACTATCCTGACTAACAAGAAAACATACAGCAAGATGTTAATGAAGAGAAGGACGAGGGGGGAAATGATAGCAGTGTTCCAATATCTCAGGGGCTGCCCCAAAGAAGAGGGAGTCAAGCTATTTTCCAAAGCGCCTGAAGGCAGGACAAGAAGCAACAGGTGGAAACTAACCAAAGAGAGAAGCAACCTAGAACTAAAGAGAAACTTCCTGACAGTTAGAACAATTTACCAGTGGAACAACCTGCCTCCAGAAGCGGTGAATGCTCCAACACTGGAAGTTTTTAAGAAGAGACTGGACAGCCATTTGTCCGAAATGGTATAGGGTTTCCTGCCTGAGCAGGGGGTTGGACTAGATGACCTCCAAGGTCCCTTCCAACTTTTTTTTTTTTTTTTTTTTTTATTATTATTATTATTATTATTATTATTATTATTATTATTATTATTATTATTATTATTATTATTATTATTATTATTATGAGATTCCGGTGTCACAAGGGGCAAGGAGAAAAAAAATAAATCAAAATCAAAATACCTAAAAGAAACAAAGAAAGTAGACTTGAATAAAAACACAAAGCACAACAAGCTATAACCTTTTCATTTATAATCTGTAAGCCTCCCAGAGTCGCCTTATAGGGGAGATGGGTGGCATAAAAATTTAATAAATAAATACAAATTTTTATACTGCTTTGCATTCAATTTTATATGGCCCAGAGATTTTATAGAATTGGGTGACCCTCTGAAATTCACTGACTAATTGGGTGACCCTCTGAAATTCACTGACTAACTGACTAATTAACAATAACCTTTTGCAAGGAAATACAAAGTCAGGGAACTGATTACCATAAAGGAAAACAGGAACAGGGAAAGTTAGGAGATGAATAAAAGAGAATATTTTAGCCCAGGGCTGAACTGTGAGGTCCTTGGTGTTTTCTGAGCTTGGTTGTTTTCTTGCAGATGTTTCATTACTCAACTAGGTAACATTATCAGTGCTAGCCTCTTATATATAACCAGAGACCAAATCCCAATCCCTTCTAGCATTGATGATATTAACTAGTTGGGTAATTAAACATCTGCAAGAAAACAACCACACTCAGAGAACACCAAGGAGCTGTTCTGGCCCAGCCTACATGAGTCCTTGTTATGCTCACAAGGAGAAACCCCTCTTCCAAGAAACAGGCAGGAACTGCAAGAAAAAACCAACCCCTTTTATTCTCACAGACTTGAGTCAATGTCCAAGGCAAACAAACACAGTCCACAGAAACTCGATCCTCAACACGAACGGTTGCCTTCGGCAACCAGCACCTCCCACATCTTCCCTTTTATAATCAAGCCAAGGCGTAGCTTCCTAATGATTTCTCCTTTGCCTTTGGAGCCGCCCCATTGTATTCCTCTGTCCTACTCGCTTCTCTTGCCTGCACTTTCGTGCATCCTGGATTTGTCCCAACTGTTCTTCATCACTGTCCACTTCAGGCTCCCAGCACAGCTGTGTCTCAGCCTGAGCGCGAGTAGAGGGGCCAGGCTCCTCATCAGACTGTAAGTCTTGGAGCTCCTCAGAGCCTTCCTCTACTCTAATGTCACTCCAGGCCCCTCCTCCTCATCTGATTCCTCAGACTCAGCTGCCGGATCCACTGGCTGGTGAGGAATCACAACAGGAGCCCACAACGTTAGGAAAATTGGTAGGCTGTGCGGGATCAGTGAGATGAATCAATTTGACCTGAAACAGAGTCACCAGAGATAGGATAGATTTATATTCCGAGGAAGACACCAAAGCAGAGTCAAACAAGTGGGCAGATTCTGCAGACGTTTTCTCTCTGCTTAGGTACCAAGGTAGCAAACAGAGATCTATTCAAGTAATCTTCCGCTTTTGTCTTATCTGTCTCTGCTTTCCATTCCCAGCCTTGAACAGCGGAATCTCTCGCTAGAGACCGAAATGATGAACCTCCATGACGAATTGGAGCAAGAGAAGAAGAAGTTTACAATGGTCGAAATCAAAATGCGCAATGCTGAGCGGGCCAAAGAAGACGCAGAGAAACGGAACGACATGTTGCAGAAAGAGATGGAGCAGTTTTTCTCAACGTTTGGGGAACTGACAGTTGAGCCGCGTAGGACAGAACGAGGAAACACCATATGGATCCAGTGAGGGCTGTTCCTGCTGCTCAACAAGACTGTGGGATTCTGGGAAGAGGATAGCTGTGATATTTTATTGCATTGTTTCTCAGCCTTGGCGACTCGAAAATGCGTGGACTTCAACTCCCAGAATTCCCCAGCCAGATTTGCTGGCTGAGGAATTCTGGGAGTTGAAGTCCATGCAACTTCAAGTCACCAAGGTTGAGAAACACTGTTTTATTGTAACAGGTGACTGGTCACCTGACTGAGGCTAGCACTCAATGTAATGTTATGAGACCTCCAGAGACTACATGACTGCATCAACCAACCTTTTCTCTGCAAGTTGCTTCTCAATTGAGAAATCCCTACTCCGCTATCCATCATCATGCTACTGTTAAGTGTTACAACAAGCTTTGGGCTTATAGATTTTAAATAGGTTATGTGGGGCGGGGGGTACGATAGAAAGAGGCAAAAGATTATTTTAATGCAAGTCTTATATTTAAACTGTCAAATGTTAACTTCATTGCAATCAAGCTTTTCTCCCTTGCACTTAACATAGTAAGCTATTTTTGGCCTTGTGTTATAATCAGCTAATTTTGTATATTACTTCCCCCCCCCCTTCTGTTGCCCTGTCATTGCAGAATTAATTATATAATATATATAATATATGTATATTTATACACACACACTGTCACACACAAGTCTGTGTCTTTGCGTGTGTATATATATAAAATGTTAGCTATTAAAACAAGCAAAAAAGTATTGTGTGATTGTGCTGTTTATGCCAACTTTGTTGCCCATGACCAAAAAGAAAAAAAAACCCAGAAGGAATTGTAAATAATTTTATAAATATATAACATGAGCATTGATTATGTTTGTTTTATTTTCCCCTTTTTTTCTTTGTGTTTCTAATATTTCATTTAAAACTGTCAGTCCTGACCTGTGCACTTACATCTTCAAAAGTCTCTCCTATGGTCACTGCATTATATCCGCACGATCCAAACATTAAATTATACACATAATTTGCACTGGAATTCTGGGAGTGGTTTTGAAGTGGGCAACCTTAGGGAGAGAAGATAGTTTTTAACTATATCACAATCCTGACAAAAATCTGATCATTAACCAGCTGACTGACTCTCTCGAAAAAAGCAACAGCCATTCACCCTATTGTAATAGAGCTAATAAAAAGTAGTCCTTGACTTATGATCACAATTGAGCCCAACATTTCTTTTGCTAAGCAAAACAGTTAGTGAGTTTTGCCCCATTTTACAACATGTTAAATGAACCACTGCAGTTGTTAAGTTAGTAGCATGTTTGCTAAGTGAATGTGGCTTCCCCATTGACTTTGATTGTCAGAAGGTCACAAAAGATGATCACATAACTCCGGGAAGCTGCAACCGTCATAAATATGAACCAGTTGTCAAGCGTCCGAATTTTGATCATGTCACGGGAAGAGAAGGGATGGGAACCTTATCTGTGCTGACAAATATGGATATGTGTGTGTGTGGATGGATGGATAGATAGATAGATAGATAGATAGATAGGTAGGTAGGTAGGTAGGTAGGTAGGTAGGTAGGTAGGTAGGTAGGTAGGTAGGTAAGTAGGTTGGGCTGTTGAAGGTTCAAGAGAAGGGATGGGAATCTTATCTGTGCTGACAAATATGGATGTGTGTGTGTGTGTGTATAGATAGATAGATAGATAGATAGATAGATAGATAGATAGATAGATAGATAGATAGTATCTATCTATCTATCTATCTATCTATCTATCTATCTATCTATCTATCTATCTATCTATCTATCTATCTACTATCTATCTATCTATCTATCTATCTATCTATCTATCTATCTATCTATCTATCTATCTATCTATCTATCTATCTATCTATCTATCTATCTATCTATCTATCTACTATCTATTGAACACACGGGACCCGACTTGAAGGTTCAAGAGAAGGGATGGGAACCTTATCTGTGCTGACAAATATGGATATATATCTAAGGCATAAAGTCTCTTCTCCCCACTTATGCAGCAATTTTCGTGTCCCCAATCATTTCTAGATTTGTATCTCTCCTCCGTACATCACAATGTTAACAGCAGGTGCTGCCACTTTTTTGAAAGCCCCACTTTCAGTCTTGGGAGCCCCTCAGACAGGGTGTCCATGTGTATCTCTCTTGCTTACTCACCCGTTGTTTGTGTGTGTGTTTATATGTATGTCAAAAAAGTCAAGGGGGCAGTAACCATGCAATTGAAGCCCCATTCCTTTTTGATCTGCATTGTGACACATGTTGAAAAGAGCAGGCATTTGGACGATAGTTGCCACCTTTCTTGACTTTTTTGACATGTGAAACACAAACGCATTCCTCACTGCATAAACCAAGTCAGTCTTTCCAGCTTTTCTATTAAAGGCTTGTGAAGTAATGGGACATTGTGAGAATAACAGAGCTGGAAGGGACCTTGGAGGTCTTCTAATCCAACCCACTACTCAAGAAGGAGACCCTGTACTACTTCATACAAATGGCTGTCCAATCTCTTCTTAAAAGTCTATAGTGTTAGAGCACCCGCCATTTCCAGAGGCAAGTTGTTCCACTGATTAATTGTTCTCACTGTCAGGAAATTTCTCCTTAGTTCTAGGTGGCTTCTCCCCTTGATTAGTTTCCATCCGTTGCTTCTTGTCCTGCCTTCTGGTGCTTTGGAAAAAACAAGGGCAATTTGGAAATAAACCTCCATTTGGTTATCAATGACAGATACTCGCAGATACTGAACTTTTACTATACACATTAGAAAACTACAACATTCCATTATTTTTCGACATAATCACCATTCAAATTGAGGCACTTGTCATAATGTCTTACAAGGTTTGAAATTCCTTAGTAGTAGCTGCTCGGCGCCAAAAGATCCCAATGGAACTGCTTCAAAAGTTCTTGGGTGTGTCTAGCGGTGTGCAGGCGAGCATTATCGTGAACTAACACCACACCGGAAGTCAGCATGCCCCAACGCTTGTTATGGATGGCTCATCTGAGTTTTTGTAACGTTTCACAGTTACAAATTGATGGTAGAACCATGCTCCATGAACTTCACTAGCAGTACTCCTTTGACATTTTCACGTATGGTGGGATTTTCCATGGCACCATTTCCAGTTTGGTGTTGATTCACGATAATGCTTGCCCGCATACGCTAAATGCACCCAAGAACTTTTGAAGCAGTTCCATTGAGATGTTTTTGATCACTCTCCCATAGCCCAGATTTGGCGCCAAGCAACTACTACTAAAGAATTTCAAACCTTGTAAGACATTATGACAAGTGCCTCAGTTTGAATCGCGATTATGTCAAAAAGTAATGGAATGTTGTAGTTTTCTAATGTGTATAATAAAAGTTCTGTATCTGTGAGTGTCTGTCATTGATAACCAAACATAGGTTTATTTCCAAATTGCCCTTGTAGATTGAACTCCTCTTCTTTGTGGCAGCCCTTCAAATATTGGAATGCTGCTATCATGTCACCCTTAGTTGTTCTTTTCACTGGACCAGACAAACCCAATTCCTGCAATCATTCTTCATATGTTTTAGCGTTCAGTCCCCTAGTCATCTTTGTTGCTCTTCTCTGCACTTTTTCAGAGTCTCAACATCATTTTTATATTGTGGAAACCAAAACTGGATGCAGTACTCCAAGTGTAGATTTGCTAAGGCATTTTATATATAGTACCAACACTTCACGTAATATTGATTCTATCCCTCTGTTAATGCAGCCTAGGATTGCATTGGAAGTGCTGAATTGTTGAAGGGCCTTGTTCACGATAAGGCTTAGGATTCATCAAAGCTCTCCATGCCAGATGGTTACTGTATTTTCTCCACAAAGAGGGCTCCATGATCATTGGATCTTGCAAACAGAATTTCTGCAATGTCACAAAATGGGCAAGTGCAGTTGTAGCTATGTCACAAGCTATATGACGTGGCAGCAGCAAATGTTTTGTTAGGAATTATGTCAGGCTACACAGAGAGCCAGGCTTGCTGTAGTAGTTAAGGCATCAGGCTAGAAACTGGGAGACTGTGAATTCTAGTTCTACCTTAGACAAAAAAAAGTTACCTGGTGACCTTGGACCAGTCACTCTCTCAGCCCAGTAGTGGCAAACCACTTCTGAAAACTTGCAAACAAAATTGGAGAAATTTGTCTAAGATTCAGCAACGATTTGAAGCCCTTACCTCAACCCAAAAAGTTATACCAAAGGCCCTTAAAAACCTGCCCCCTCCCCAAACAAATTGTGGAAGAAATGTTTATTTATTCCTATCTTTAGAGAAATGATCATTGTTCTTACCTTTTAAAAAGTACGTTGTTCCAAAATAATGCAAAAAAATACCTACCTGCTTAGCAGTCCATAGGCATATTTTTTTCTGATTGGCTCCCCAATTATTCCAATTCATATTCATTTAAAAATATGTATGCATTATTTTAGTGGAGTTCTTGGTGCTCCCCGTGCTTGGTTGTTTTCTTCAGACGTTTCATTACCCATCTAGGTAACATCATCAGTGCACTGAAGATGTTACCTAGTTGGTAATGAAATGTCTGCAAGAAAACAACCAAGCACAGAGAGGACCTCACAATTCAACCCTGAGCTAAAAATATTCTCTTGTCTTTGGAACTACTTCAGTATATTTCTATACAGCACTAATCAGTACACAAGCCACCACACTCAAAATGTTAATTATTATTCCTGAGTTATACAGATGGCAATGCCCAAATTTTTATGGCTGCATGAAATCTGTGATTTATTCACGTTTTGTCACTAGTCTTATTTCAATTTTCAATCTGGATCGGTTGTGTCTTCCGAACTTCCAGATGGACTTCCAGAGAAAAGTTTCCCTGAGGATGGGCTCCAGCACAAGTCTGAAAGCTTGGAAGACAAAAACTCCTGGTCCCGGTGACCGACCCAGATTGGTTCCTGCAACATTATCCTGGGACGCTTATAATCGCCTTCATTCGTACTTCAGTTTTGAACTTAAATAAGGCTCTAATTTCCATCTTTCTTCAAGCAGTAGGCATGTAAATTTTAATAATAATTTTGTTGTTAGTTGCGAAGTCATGTCCGACC